AGATATAACTAAGAGCCACTTTGGTCTAGAGGTTAAAGTACAGCCTAGAAATTAGGAGACTGTGAGTTCTAGTCCCACGATAGGCATGAAAACCAGCTGGATACTTTTTGTGCCAGTCGCTCTCTCTCACCTCACAGCATTGTTGTTGTAGGAAAAATAGGAGAAGGAAGGAGAACGATGTATGTTCTTCATCTTAAGTTACTTATAAAGAAATAAAGGGTAGATTTAAAAGAAACCTAAAAAAAGATTGTTTTACTCAGGAGATAGATTTAGCTTAATATGTATCTGGATAAAATATGAATGTATAAAGCTTCAGATTTATTTAGAAAAAAACTATTTCAGAATGCTTAGGATTGTGAATACAATATTTTCCTGTGGCTTATTAAAACAGCTATGTGATCCTGAAAACAGATGTGATCGTTTAACGATTCCCAAATCAAATCAGCAGTCCATTCTTCAGGCAAACCACAATGTGATTTATTTAGCACCTACATAGATATTTTTCATCAAATTCTTGGTAATGAAAGATCAATGGCATGACACCCATGAGATGAACTATAAAAAGCATTATCCAAACCACATATAAGAATGAGATTAAATTTATAGACTTACATTATATGCAAAGCCTGGAATGGAAATATGGATCACATCATATCACATAAGCAATTATATAGTCACAGAAAGCCCAAATGCTTAGAATGTGTTTTAATTCACAAATCAGTTATTTTAAAATTACTCTGTATTTGCACTAAATAATTAATTTAATGTGTTTTCTTTTTATGCAGTAATAAATATACCCCATAAGTGGCCATATCATAGACTTTAGAAATATTTCTTTATAAGTAAATATTTTCAGGATTATATGGTTTATGTTATAGGTATTCTCACTGAAACTAAATCCCACTGAAGCTTTTATTGTCATGTAAAGACAGATAAGCCAGATGGTAATTTTATTTTAGCAGGACTTCAATTTGGAAGTAAATAATCAGGGATACAAACATTCCTGCACCTGGTTTTCTAAACATCTAGAAAACTGATAAGAATTTAAAATGAACTGATATAAAATGTCATACCGACATTTAAGAATCTGAAAAACCCCTTCCCCTTCTACATATTTCTATTACAGTCCACAAATTAAATTTACATAACATAATATTAAGATGCATTTTTATTAAATGCGGAGAGGGAAATGTGAATTGCAACATGTTAAGGAGACAACATTTGTTAAAAAAAAAAAAGAACCAGGTATTCAGATCAATCTGACAACACTCTATGGGTAGAAGAAAATAAATTTCCTGGTTCTTTACAGCGCTGAAGTCTTATTCACACAGATCTCAGTCTGCAGTTTAAAAAGACAATTGGGCATTTCTACATTCCTCCTTGAGGTGAGTATAGTCAATTGAAGTGAAGAGACTGAATCATCTTCTCAAGAAATGTTTCTGGAATATCTTATTGTACAGAGTAGTTGCACAGATTTACAAAGATACCAGTACTATGCAATTCACATAAGATTAACCTAATCAGTGCTAATCAGAAAAACTCATAAATTTATTTCTTCATCCACATCTTGATAACTGACAGGTGATTTCCCCCCCCCACTTTTTTAAAACACAAAATTTACATCTCAGTACACATGAAAATAATGACAACATTTCCAACGACTTCAATACATAAAAATGAGCTTGTTCTAACATAGAGGGAGACACACAATTCAGAAAGGGTCATGTTAACAGTCAGACAATCAACATAAAACTTTCAAGGGATTTATTGCACTAACTGCAACTCCTGCTAATGTTACAGGATACAATAAGCAACCATTTATCTTTATATTAACCCACAAAGGCCAATCCCAGTACTAAAAGGATGCATTTTAAAGTTCTGCTCCGGGTTCTACAATTGTTTAGGATGCCCTGGCACATGCGAGGAAAAAAAGAGAATGAATGAAACTCACAGGGTCTTCAGTTAAAAACCAAATTGTGTCTCATCATCTAAGTGAAAACAGGTATTGGTAAAAATGTCAGGAAAAAGTATCAAGCCTAGCTCAGGGAAATTTATGCAATATAGGTGGGAAAAGATCTAGCAAGACCTGGATACCTAGCAGAAAGGCAGAAACAAAGGAGAAAAAGCATCAATCCCGAAAGACTATCATGATCAAGTGATTTGAGAATTCCCCAAATATTGCAATGTTGATTTTTTTTCCTCTCTCTCTCCCTAAATATATTTGGAGCCGTTTATTCTGCTGAAATAGAAGGTACTAAGATTTTTTATTAAAAGCATTGTGTTTTTTTGTGAATAAGCGGAAAGCTCTCCTAAAGGACACACGTTGGACTTCGTTTACCGAACGATGGGATTTTTTTTTTTTTGAAGGATCCCCCTTTTTAAAGGTTGCACAACGCGAGGTGGGCGCTCCGGCGTTCCTCAACCGGAGCTGCTTCACCGCAAGCCAAGACACCCAGGAGGAGCTGTGCTGGTGGCAGGAGCGGCTGGCGGCGCTTACCTGTCCGAGAGAAAAAACCCTCTGATACGAAGTCGCCAAGGGCTTCAGGTGGGGCGCAGCCGAACCCGCCAACCTCTCAACCCGCTCCCTGCGCTGGAACTATGAGAGAAGCAAGACCGCCGCCTCCAGGATCGCTTCTGCCGCGTTTTGTGGAGCCCG